CCTTGCTGGCTGCGGTCTGGCATTGGCGGCTCATGTTCATCTTGGAGTCAATAATGACTCCGAGATCCCTTTCTGCCTCTGTGCTTTCAGGAAGGGAACTCCCCAGCCTGTATGTGTGCTGTGGATTCCCTCTCCCAAGCTGCAGCACCCTGCATTTGTCTACGTTGAACCTCATCCTATTCTCGTCTGCCCACTTTTGTAGTCTGTCTAAATCTAGTTGCAGCCTTTCCTTCCCTTCAAGTGTGTCCACCTCACCCCACATCTCGCTCGACCTCTTGACCTGCAGCACCCTGCATGCTCCAGGCCTACCCAGTACCGTGGCAAGGAAGTTTGCCGCTCAGGACAAAGCCTGCAGTGGCAGCCCACCTTTGCCCCATGTTCAGATTTGAGGGGCATAGGCCCCCCCCATGCTTGCCTGGGAGTGCACACAGTGATGGGAGCTGCCCTCCCCCTATCCCTGTGCCTTCCCAAACAGCTGATCACAGCTCTGCTCTGCGCCCTGCTCCAGCTGGGCAGCGCCTGTTGGCGCCCCTTTGCTTCAGTGCCCCGGGAGGTCAAGCCGCTCATGGTCGCCTGCCCCCCCCCCCACATTGCTATGGCACAGGGCCTTGCCAGTGCCCCTCACTCCAGACCCACAGCCCCTGCCCCCCCCCCCAAGCCTTGCCAGTGCCCCTCACTTCAGACCAGGAGCCCCTGATCTGCCTCCAAGCCATGAGCCACGTGCTATCGGCCACAGATATTGGCCTGTTGGGTACAGGGCCCTGTCCTCCCTCCTACAGCTCTGGTTGGCCCAACCCCTTGACCTGGGCCCCAGCCCAGAGCTGCTCTTGGGGCTGGACCGAGGTCCAGGGTCACAGACCTGGGATGCAGCCAGCTCTGGGGTAGGGATCAGGGCTGGGTATCTCGGGGCTCCTGAGCTGTGACGGGTGCTGGGGGTGGGGGTACCCAAGGGAAAACTGAGGCAGGGCCTTACCGATGGTCATGGCCAGCATCTGCTCCATGCACACATTGTGGGCCGGCCCACAGGTCACCCGGGTCACATTGGGCTGGACCAAGGCTTGTACATAGGTGCCCTCATGGCTGTAGCAGTCCAGGCTGAGGGCCACTGCGGGGTGGAAGAGAAGAGAGGCCACAGCTCCCAGGTGTCCGGGCTCTACACCCGCCTGCTCGTACACTCAGACCCCACTGCCCTCCCAGAGGACCCAGGTGTCCAGGCTCCCAGTCCCCTCTCCTCTCACCCCTACCCTGCACTCCCTCCCAGAGCTGGAGAGACCCCAGGTGTCCGGGTTGAGGGGACCCAGGCATTCAGGCTTCCCTCTCTGCCCCCTGCCCCCTTCCCCACTCTGCTACCTTCAATCAGCAGCACCGAGGCCAGGAGACCCCAGAGGGCCCAGGGAGGGGGGCAGCGGTGAGGCATCGCAGGGCCGGATCCTGCCAGGGGGTCCTGAGGCTCAACAGGAGGCGTCTGTTCTGGGGTCTGGCCCCCGGGGCAGGAGGGTCTATATACGGCTCCTGTCTCCGCCCCCCACCCTCCTACCCCCAACTCCTCCCCTGGTGCCACCTCTTGAATTCGTCCCAACACGTAGATCTGCCAGGAAGTGCTGGACTCCCAGGGAGCGGGGATCAGGGCAGGAGCCTCCCTGCCTTACCGCTGCCCCTCACTCCTGACCCCCAGCCCCTGCCCCACTCCCAGCCCTGCCCGTGTCACTCACTCACAGCCCCTTGCTCCCCTCAGCCCTGCTGGTGCCCCTCACTCCTGACCTGCAGCCCCCCCTTTCAGCTGTGACCCATGTTGTATTGGTCACAGACATTGGCCTGTTGTGACCAGCCTCCCTCCCAGTGCTGTGGTTGGGCCCCGGGAGCCCGGGCCGAGGTCCAGGGTCACAGACCTGGGATTGCAGCCAGCTCTGGGCTGGGTGGGGGAGGGCGGGCAAGGGCTGGGTATCACAGGGCCCCTAAGCTGCGGCTGGCCTGGGGTGGGGGGCATGCTAAATGAAACTGAGGCTGGGGCAGCTTGGGAAGAGAACCCAGGAGTCCTGGCATACCTTACAGACCCCCATGCCCCAAGTAGGGATACAACCCCTGTGTGGGTGCTGTGCCAAGGCTCCTGCTGGGTGGTTAGAGAGTCTTGCCCCTGTGCTCAGGCTCAAACCAATGCTGCAGTGGGGGCAGGAAGGGATTTCCCCCTGCTCAGACTGGTATGGACTGGGGGGAGTTGCCTTCTGCTGCAGCAGGGGCACAGCCTCAGCCTGGGGTCTCTGTAGCATCCATGAGCCCGCTGGCAGCTGCAGGACGTTGGCAGCTGTGGCCCCCCTGCTTTCCCCAGGGCAGGGGTGGGGGCGATGCCTGGGGCTGTGTCAGGTTGACGGTCACGTGGCTCAGAGGTCAGGCACGGGGTTTGTCTGGGCTGGTTTGAACAGGGCTGATCCTTCCTCAGGCAGGTGCTGAACTAGATGTGACTTTGCAGGTCAAATTGCATGTCTGGATGTGTGTACATGTGCACACGTACATGTATATGTGTGTACACACACCCCTGCATACTTGCAGGATCAGGGTGTGAGCTGTGCACAACCCTGGCTGGCCAATGAGGGGAGGGAGACGTGTGCATTCAGCCCCCCCGTTCCCCCCCAACACACACACAGAGCCCTTCCCCTACAAGCGTGTGCCCACACACCCCCACACCCTCCCTGCAGGGGTGCACATGCATGCATACACACACATGCACCCTGCAAGTCTGCATGAACATATACACGCATGCACGCATGCTTGCCAGTGTGGGTATGTGTGCATGCCCCCTGCAAGTGTGCATGCACACACACATGCACACCCTGCAAGCATGTGGTCCCTGTAGCCAAGGGAAGGCCCCAGTTTGCAGTACCAGGCCCACCAGCAGTGACAGGAGGAGCATCCAGAGCCCCCAGAAGGGGCCGAGGGACAGGCAGGGACATGGGGGTCTTGCCTCTGCCACACGAGCATCCAGACCCTGCAGCCCTGACCTTGCAAGGGCCGCACGCTGCCAGGAACATCCGCACACATCCCAGCCGCGTCCAGGAGCCGCAGGGAAAGGGGACCCTCTTCCAGAAGCATGGGCTGGGGTGGGGGCAGAGATGGGTCACAGCCCTGGGCTGCCCAGCACGTGTCAGGGCTTCTTTGGTTCTTGAAACTGCAGCAAAGCAGGTGGAGACAGGCCCCGGGGCACTGCCCCCAGAGCCAGGGCAGGACAGGTTCCTGGCAGGCCACGCTCCATGAGCAGGGCGGGCGGCTGGACCTGTGCCAGGCCGGCACGTGCGACTGGTGCCTGGCTGATAAGGCAGGTGTTTGCCTGGAGCAGTGGCTTACAAAGCAAACACAGGCAGCAGCTGAAGATGCTTTAACCAGGGACAGACTCACCTGGGAGCCGGGCCCAGTGATGGGGGCACCAGCAGGATCCCTGGCGCCAGTGGGCTCCATCTCCAGGTCTCCCTGTGTCTTCTGGCAGCAGCAGCTGGGAGCGCGACAAAGCCAGACACAGAGTTCAATGGGAGACGGCGCTCGTCCTGGTAGCCCAGGTCAAGGAGAGATTTACACACTACAGGGCCTCCCCGTAGCGCTAGGGTTCCCCCAGACCCTTTTGGGAGTGCCATGGGGGGCACTGAGAGGCCACACTCAGCAGACAGTCCCAGAAATGTCAGCGAGGAGCCGGCTGGGTGCAACGGGGCTGTTGGCAGTCCCCGTTCAGAGGAGAACAGCACTTTCCCCGGGTGCAGCCAAGAAGCAAGTGGGAAGGAGGAGCTGGCAGTTCCTGAGGGACCTCGAGTCCAGCCCAGGCGCCTGGACCTGCACCCTGCCTTGTGCCAGGGAGTCTCCTGGGAGCGAGCATGACTGGGGTCTAAGCAGGGTTTTCCCCTGGTCCCGTGGCCATTGCCCCCATGCTCGTAGCTGCTGCTGCCCCTTTCCCCAGGAGTGCATCCCCTTCTGTGGCACATGTGGCTGCCACATCTATTGCGCCACGATGACACGCAGGCAGAGGAACTTCCTCTTGTTCGCTCCAAACAGCCGCCAGGTCTGTTGTGCGTCACAGCCCCTGCAGCGAGAGGGAGCAAAGACTCAGTCCTCAGTTGCTTTCTCTTCCCCATTTAGTGCTTGTCACGGCCCTGCTCCAGCTTCCCTTGACTCGTCAGACAGGCCTGGTCTCATCATCCTCATTGCCCTTCTCTGCACGTCTCAACTTCCTCCATCTCTCGGCTGAGCTGCAGGGACGGGACATGGAGGTGGGTTGTCCCACATCCCCACCAACTGCAGGGCCCAGGTGTGAACACCTTCCCACCCGAACCAAAGGGCAAGATGCTCCCAGGCAGGGAGGCTGTGGCCACGGCCTATGGGATACCAAGCTCTCAGTCTGTCTCCAGGGCTGGCAGCAACAGGGCATTAGCCAGGTCCAGGCAGGCAGCAGGCCTGCAAGCAGGAGGCAGCCCCGGGGCTGGACATGGGGCAGGCTCTGGCATGGTCCATGTCAGTCTTGGGTTGGCCTGGTCCCTGCTCAGGACCTCTGGGAGAGGAGCTGGGGGCCTCCCTCATTGCCCACACTGGAGGCAGAGGCCAGGTCGGCAGCAGAGGAACACAGCCCCGGGCCTGGGGCTGCGCATGGGCCGGGTGGCCATGCAACTAGCCGCAACGCTGGCTCTGCGGCTATTTCTGCTCTGTGCTGGGGCACGAGCAACGCTGGCGAAACGCCGGCGCAGAGTGGGACCCGCAGGGGCACAGTGGTCCGACCCCAGCCCGCAGCAGGCCCAGCCCGTCATGTGAACCAGCTCAGGCAACTCTGCATCCCAGCATGACGCCACTGCCGGGACACCGCCAGGCATCAGCCCCGGGCATGCGTGGGGGGGAGCTGGTGCATGGCTCTGGGGGCACCGCAGGGGCACGGGGTGCAGCAGGGGTCAGGGGGCGCCGGCCCCGGTGGCTGGGCGGACAGCCCAGGCGTGGTGGTTGCCTGTTCCCCGCCCCCGACACCCTTGGCGGAGAGGACCCGGGCACCGGCAGGTTCCCACGCTGCCGCCCCCGGGGGAGGGACCCGGGCGGCCCCGGCCCCCCCGGCGCGCCGGAGGCGGAGGGGAAGGGGCA